CATATTAGCTTGGTCGCACACCACAAAGTCAAGCGTACTTTTTTTTTTCCTGGTCGAGGCACAACATTGGCAGCCCGCCTCGCCAGCGCTCCGGGCCGGCGGGACAATCGTTAATACGACTCGGCTCCCATTCAGACCCGGCGCAGAAGTGACGGATTTGAGCGGATTTGGCTAGCGTGGGAAAACAGCCCCGGTCCGGGCCAAATCGGCTTCCCAATCGGAAGGGATTTTCAAGAAGGAGGTTTGGCTGCGGACTCTCTCGTTCATTGGGGACAAACGCCTCCCGTTCCGTGTCTGTGAACTGATCCGTGTGGGTCCCCGTGTACAGACTACCCGAGCACGGCCCGTTGCACACCGCAGCCCCGCTAACCCCACGGCACTACTTGTCCAAGTGCGGTAATCGCGGTCATTATGCCAGAGATATTTTCTTAGGGTCCGTAAACAGAGTTAAGCCGGCCAAACATGTGTTTGTGAACGGATGGACGGAGGCCTAAAAAGTGGTTGTTGTCAAATACAAGTTTCACCTGATAGATATTAGGGAGAAAAATCAAAACCGACAGCAATAACAAGACTGGGGTCAGTTCTAAATGTATGGAATTCAACTGAGTTGTATTGTAGTGTGGGTTTGAACCCAAGACTAACAAAATGGAAGCTTCGGCATTTCCCGAAAACTTGTAGCTAACTTCTTTCACACGACAGTTCAAGGTTTACCTTTGTTTAAGTGACCCTTCCAGCAGTGGTGATTTTTACAGTTATCATAATGGATCAAACATCAACAAAAGTTTTTCACCCCTCTCAGTTCAAGCTGTATTCTTAAACTATGAGACACAGGTATTTTAGATGTTCGCTTGTATCACGTTTTTAATCTAAGGTTTCTATGACTGCAAATGAACCGTAGAAACCCATTATGAAGCCCGCGTGCAGCGGATGCTCTGATGGGCACCATCAAAACACTTGAACATTTCAGTTTGTTCTAAATGGAACATAGTGTATAATCAGTTCGGCAGTCTGGAGTAAGAAGTCACATTCATGCCATGAGCGAAATGAACATGTAACAGTTTCGAGTTGGTCCCACAGCCTCATTCTCTGATTAGTCACTCCTCACCTATTAAATGTCGATGATCGTACTTGGTCTGGTTCCATTCCCGATCGTTTCAACAAGAAAAAAAAAGGTGCTTAAAAAAGTCGACGACTGTTGCTGGAAAAGTTTGTTTTAAAGTCACCCTGTAAAGAAATTAGTGAACTTAATTTTTGTTGTTTGTTGAGTAAAATAAAATCTTTTGCCTGAGATGACAACCTTTAGTAGCCGTGAAACGTTTCTCTCTATATATCATGTACCTCTAGTTTAAGAGAAAAGCCAAACATTTAAGAACGGGGAAAAACGACCAACCAAAATTCTTCAAAAGGCCCACATCGATTCAGTTCCAGACTGGACAGGAAAAAAGTGCAGCGTTTGAACCCTGAAATTTGCAACGATCAACAAAGTTGCCCCTACAGACTCGACCAAAACAATTTAATGCGGATTAAAATCAAAATAGAGAATGCCCCGAGAGGAAAGGGTAAAAAATTAAGCAAGGGAAGAAGAAGGAGGGGGAGAAAATGGTGCCAGGATAAGAAGCAGTTGGAGTCACCTCCGGGTACGCCGACCTCCCCCCCCCCGTCTGACACGGGGGGACAGAGCCGAGGGAAGGGTCGCCTGAACTTGTTCCTGGCAACAACCGAAGCAGCCGTATCGGCTAGGGCTCGCTTGGCGAGCATGATCCCGGTCCAGACGTCCCAAGCTCAACACCCAGGGAAAAAAAAATTAAAGATCTTGTTGCTTATCTGCGTATTTCATCGGCGTTGACAGAAGGTACCGGCTCTGCGCGGCCCTTTGATGCCCGGGATTTCTGTTATTAGCCCCCCTGTCCAAAAGACCCCGGCCCCATCGCTTGCTCGGTGTGCCGTGAAATGGGTCTTAATCGGCCAACGAGTGGGGACCCGCCGCAATAATGGCCCTTTCTTATTACGGAGTCAGCGGAAATATGCGTGGTCTTTAGGTCAGAACAACACTGGAGAGTAATGTTATTATTATCCTGATTACTTTTTCCCCTTTCGGAGAGGTACAGGCGTGATTTGGCAACAGTAGGAGCGTTGACGGGGATATTGCCGAAAACATGCAAGTATACTGGCGCGTGGCCACGGCTGATACATTTCCTTGTTGGTCACGGCGCCTGACTTCATAGGATTGACGTGAAATGCGACTCAGCTCAATACCTTGAAAAAAAAAAAGAAAAAAGAAAACTGGACACGCTACCCTTTCCTCACAACGTCAACAGTTGTGGCCAAAAAATGTAACTGCTGTTGGTTGGGATTTGGGGAGAAAGACAACGTGCCTTCCCTTGAGCACTGCACCCGCTAACACGAGCGATTTGAATCAGACTAAATATCACGCTAAACACCTGCCAAGGAGATTCAAAGGAAGTGGACAGTTAGAATGTGTCGTTGGTAGTCATTTTTCTTTATTGTAGGGAACTATGCCCTTGCCCAATAAAGAATGAAAAATCGACAGAAAATCAGTTTCAAGGGAAAAAATACATTTGGGATACATAAATGCGTCCTGGCAACACCAGACTAAGCATGTGTCACTGTTACCCATTGGAAATGATTCTCGTTCCTTCATTGGTTAATAGATGTCGGTGCTTAACAGGCCTGGTAACAGTTACCCCCAAACATTGCCTAGAAACGTACTGAGAAAAGCTCTATAGCTGAGGGAAAGACATGACTACATGCACAACACAGTCTGTGAAACGTAGTTCTAATTCTGCATTGCCCGATTCGGTTTTGGGAAACGGTGATATAATTCACAAGGGCGAATGTGAAGCTGAAGTCGATCTATTGCCAATGCCGTACGAAATTCCGACACCCATGAAACTTGCGCAGTGACTTTCTTCAATCCACGGACTCTTAGGCCATGTCCGAAACGGGCTTCCAGAGCTTCGGCTAGGTCTATCGTCTACGCGTCTCCACGCATTTCCAATGGAGCGAAGACCTAGACCGAGCTCTAGACAAAAGATTCGGATGCAGCCTCAGCCTCACTTCGTCATGTTGTCATTATTCTGTGCTCTACGTTATGCGCAATGCATTACGGTCAGTGAGATCATTTTTATTTTTGACGGGGGTGCTACTCGCATCCTACACTGGCCATAGCCAAGTATAATTCTGCCTCCGTCTCAGACGATCCATATCAGACGATGCGGGGCCGAATCCAGAATAATTGAGCTCTCCTCTTACTGGTGCAGGATGAGGTTATTGGCAACATCTGCCTAGTCTTTCATTGTTTCCATTGGAAGAATAATGTATCCAAATTTCTTTTTTTTTTTTTGCATGCAAGTCACGCTGCCTACAGAATGTAAAGATTTCTTCCAGATCGAAGAAAATACCAGGAAAATTTTTTTCCGCGTGGCAAATGATTCCCTATATTTTATAGTGCCACGATCATTTCCCTCTATTGTCTGGTATCCCCCATAATCAAATTCTTGAGTTTTGTCTTGAAGTGAACAAAAAGCGACTTTCTTTTGATCTGAAGGTTTTATCGAATTGAGATGTCCATTGTACCATCGCATCAACTCAACTTTTTTCCAGTGTTTATATAATTTCGCAATGAGTATACTTTCGTTATACGCCGAATTGCCGGAACAAAACGGCAGGAGCAGAACAGCGACGCAAACGCGGCGCGCGGCTCGGTCTGTGATGTCAGTCAGATAAACCCTCACTCGCTCGCGGCAAATTTAATTTGACCAACATTCTCTTTATTTCTCACTTCCATCAGTTTTGTTTCTTCCTCTCCTTGCTTCATCGCCAACAGAATTAATAAATTGCTAATTATGGTGTAAATGTCTCCATTCGGCCAGTTCTACTCGGCGCTCTTTTTAGACAATAATTTCCGCTAATTTTCAGCTGACTGGTGAGGCTAGGCGGCGTGTCCGTAATGATATGGCTGTACATAGTATTACGCGTGGCCTGCGATGGCGCGCACGTCGGGACCCTCGAAGAAAAAAAAGGAGAGATTTACGATATTTTATTGGCTCCACAACTCTTGCGCATCCAAGGGAAAGAGAACGGGAACCGTTGCGTGTGACTTTCACTCTGTGCCTCCCTGATTACCGACACCGCGGCGGTGTTTGATGTGCCTCAGCAAGTGATGATGATCTGTTTCATTAAAATCTCCGAGGGTGGAAATTCAGAGACCGAAAAGTTAGAGTGAATTCTTCCGGAAAAAAAACAAGATGGCGATGGTGGCAAATTGGTTTAACAACGTGTTTCATACATGTTTTTCTTCCCCGGTAATGGGCCTAATGTGCATTCACACTATCCACGCGCGCAAGAAAACAAAAATTATTTGACCATTATTAAAAAATCGAGGGAAGATGAAAAAAAATCGGTAATTTTTTTTCTTCACCCTTGGTTTGATGGAGGTGGGTGATGGCGGCACCGACGTTTTTTGAAGTGTGTGATTTTTTCCCCTTTCATATCATAGCCACACTTCCGGATGGGAAGCTATCAGAGCGCTGTTATTAGCTGGTTTGTGTATTAACGGGCGTGTAATCCGCCCTAATGGATTTGTTCACATGTGTGTTAAGGTCATCAGTTATTAATATTTTGTCGCACACATCTTGTTGTCTTGTTGGCCGGCAGGGATATTTCACCTGTTCGCTGGCGGTAGGGGGAAATTTCCACCTTGTGATTTGCCGGCGCGCTCGCTTCGATCGCGCTGTTGGTCCAAAATCGATGACGTGAAAAAGAGAGTTTGGCCTGAAAGGCAGGCACCGATTGATGCGTAATCACAACCGGGCTTATTACCATAGAAACACCATCATTCCTTCAAGGACGATACTTGAACTGAGAACTCTTTCGTCGTTTCCCTTCTTTGTGCCTAAGGCATGGCATTGAAGCTTTTGATATGCTGGTCTGAAAGTTTTTAAGAGTGGTTTTCTTCTGTCTTGTCTTTCTTATTTCAGAATCTAAAAGGCCCAGACTGGAGATTATTAGAGCTCCGCGCAGTCCGTCGGCGAGTTGCGGCTCTGCCATGAGTCCTCCCAACCCCACCTCCCCTAGCCTGACGGTCGAGCCACACCCCAGGACAGACACCGAGACAGTGTCCCAGAGACACGTTGAAGAGCGGGTGTCCCCGTCCATGAGGCTGACCTCGCCCACGCCCAGCCCGCGGGGGGACGTGCCGTCCAGCCCGCGCTCCGAGGGTAGTGGCCGCATGCTAAGGGAGGAGTACGGCGACAGGGACGCGTACCGAGAGCACAACGGAGGCGACTTTGCGGACCAGCTGACCCCAGCGCAGCTCCTTAGCTTCCACGGTCGGAAGGGTCCCCAGCGCCCGCCGGTCGATGTCTTGTGCCGGGTTTTCCCCGCGCAGAAGCGCAGTGTGCTCCAACTGGTCCTGCAAGGGTGCAACGGCGACATCACGCAGGCCATCGAGCAGCTCCTTAACAACCAAAAAGACGAGTCATCCGCCGTGTCTATGCCGGCATCCTTACCGGTCACCGGAACGCCCGTGACGGCGGCGTTACAGGCTAACTTCCCACCGACAGCTACCGTCACGACAGACTCTCACGGGGCCTACATTACCCACAGACCCTACCTCCCGAACAATCACCACATGAACCCGGGTGGGATGAAGTCGGCCTTTTCCCCGCTGACCACCGCCATGCCGATGCCCAGCGTGGACAAGACCCCGCCAACGGTAGTGGCCTCCAACATCCCGCAGATGCGCTTTGCCTACCCGCCCTACCCTCGGGGACTGACCCTCTGGAACCCCTACCCACCATCCGTCATACCAGCATTCGGGGTGCGGCCTGCCACCGCTGCAGACTACACGTTCAGTGGGATCATGCGTGATCTGAGCAACGGGCACAGTGGGAAGGAATGTAGGCCAAACGGAGCTTTTGGTGTAGGTGCCACCTGCGACTGACAACTCAAAAGGCAGTTACAATAAGCGAGACCCTTTAGAAAAACACTGATTTATTATAAACGAAAGATTTTGACTGTCTCATTAGGTTGAACTAAGAGAGTGCCTCAAATAAACTCTTCAGCCTCGATGGATGTATTTGTACACCTAAACAGGCAGACTGCCCAAAGAAGGTACCAGCCTGTTTTTCACCAAAAAAAAACTAACCTATAGACCTAACAGGATTTTTTTAATCTGTTTTTCTGAATCAACAGGTGAATGTGTTGGATCGAAAAGAAAAGACACATGAACCCCACACAAGAATTCTCTTCCCATCAAGAATTCCGCCTTTATTCCTGTACTTTTTTAGCCAGGACACGACATTCTTTCAGTAGTTCGCGCTGTCAGTCCACAGCTACTCCCTGTTAGTTTTCGATCTGTTTTCACCGATCTGGCTTGGTGATAACGGTTCTCGAAGAGGCTCAATTCTTCATTGCTAACGTTCTTCCTCAGGGCAACAGCGCTTTGGTCCAGAAATGAACGGCATTCTGAGGGTTGCGTTTACATTCAAATATTACATGCACCTAATTTGTGCTTAGTTAACTGGCTTGGTATACAAAATGTACGCTGCCTTTATGAATAAACTGCACTACACTTCAAGGGGGAAAAAAACGTTGATTTAGCACCGCACTGGCCGAAATACATGTTGTTATCAGTATCAATTTGCATTCAGAAACACATTAACAACGAACACCATCTTTTAGCATAGATATCGCTGTCATAATACATGGTGAGCACCTTAAATTTCGTAAAATTCATTACATTATTGATATGAACCATTACCCAGAGAACTTCTTGGAAAACCGCGAACTTTTGTATCGCAGGTTTAATGGCATTTGTCCTGAGAATCACATCAGTAGACGTCCCCAATACCAGTGGGTATTCATTTTTGGTTCTCTCTTCAAACTTTAATATCGTTGTGGGACCTTTAATACTGAGTGTAGTGTACAAATCCTTCAGAAAGCATAAGTGGATGGGAAGGTTGCGGCTGTTTTAATATTTGCGACTTTCAGCGAGCAAATCGGTGCATTGCTGTTCAAAAGTTTAGAGAAATCAATCGAGTTTAGTGTCTCGAAATTCAAATACGTTAGTTGAGGTAGAATTGCTGGTATATACAGGGTGTCAAAAATTAATCCAAAAGTGACGTTTGTTTTCTCTCAAATTATTGTCAAATATATTTGGTTTTCGTATCAAATTGAAGCTTATAGTGTATTTTCAAAACTGAAGACTTCGTTTAAATCTGATCCTGCGTCGCGGAGATAATTTCGATTACATGAAAGAATATTTCTTTTCGTTCTGTCCAATGGGATTTAACACAGCAATCGAAATATCCCATAATATTACCCTTTAACACATGAGATCATTGAAAAGGTTAACAGAATGAGTATGCTTAACTAAAGTGGTTTTGTTGTGTAATCTACAAACAAACAGGTTCGTTAAAATGGTTCAACTTGTTAATGCAATCTAACAAAAGTAAATAAGATCAAGACCTTGTTACAAAGTGTAAAATTGCACACGTTCGATTGAAGTTGTTTTCTCTGAGACAAGCTCATTTGAACTCTGAAACTCTACAATTTATTTTTTTTAATGTCCTCTGAAATACACATCAATTTCGTCAAGTTTTGAAATAGAAAGAAAATCTTGAGAGGTGAAGTACCAAATCATTTTGTTTCATGATTTAGGAAATGAATTCTGTGATTGCATACACTTGCAAGATAAACTTCCATTCGCAGAAGCAAAATGAGTTGCGTATCTTATCAACGCAACACGAACTTCAAGTGAAATTTTCACTTAAAGTAGAAAACAATATAGGTTTTGATGCGATACCCAAAACAACAATTTCTGACCATTCTTTTTGGAGAAAATAAATGTCATTTTAGGGATTGTGTCTTTAAATGGAACACGCTGTGTGCTGTCTAGCGCAATGATCCAGCAGCCAAATTAACGAAACTTTTATGGCGCAACATCACTTCTGCCAAAATTTATCAAATATTGCTCAACAATTAAGTGCACATTTCGATTAAGGGTCATCATCGCTGAACTTCGTGTTTTGTTCGTACGAGAAATATTTAACTTTGTTTCGGGAGGTAATGTAAAACTTGTTTGCCTGTGAGGGAACTTCGAAATTTTCTGCCCTATTCCGATGAAATAATTCAGCGGCTGTTTCATGTCCCCGTCGTAAAAGCTGTGATCGTAATCCTTCACGATGTTCAGAAACGTTTCGGGAAATCGACAGTAAACACACTGAGCAGCTATGCCACAAATTGCGTTGCGTAAGGTTTACGCACATAGTGCAAGGTTATGCCAGGTTTTGTGAAATCAGCCGCAGGAACATACTGTAAATTCCTTGTTTGATTCAAACGCACAGCTGCCGAAATGTCACCGAAGACGGCAATTCTTACATGATTTCTCCTGACTAAACTTCTTTGGGTCTGTGGATTTTATGTTGGTTGTTTGTTTTATTTTTGAACGAAGTCACCCGCCATTACAAAGATACATTTTATTATTTAAAAGTACTTCACCAATTTTTTTGTATATCTATAGTCTTCTTTCACAATTTTGTACATACATGTATGTATATAGCTAAAAATCGTAAATGAGATCTTCAAAAGATTTTTTTCTGTGAAATTTGTGATGTTATAGGGGTTTGGGTACTTTTTGTATGTTATTAAATACGTTCAGAAACGAGGCTTGATTTTAGTTTTTACTGGGTTCACTTTTATTTACTGTATTTGCATGTTTATCGTCCAATATTCCAACCTTTTACAATAATTGTCAAAAAAACGTAAAGGAAATCGTGGTGTACATCTTTTTTTTTAATTACTGTTTAACAACATTTTATAACAGTTCTTTCCCTTAAGTAAACCGTATCCCTAAATGTATTCTTCCACATTAAAAAGATATGATTCAACTGGCTTTAGTCAACAAACTACATCCCGCTGAGTCCGTAACGCAGTAGAGAATTGGTGGCGATTTTGCATTTTGGAAAAGGGATCCTGCCAACTAACAAAGTGTAATTGCCGACAACACGTAATTGGTTTTCAGGTACGTCTATTCAGCGCTGTGCAAGAAAAAACCCAATGAACTTGCCTTATTGCTCTCTCTACTTGCCCTTGAGATTGGATTTGTATTGTGTTCGGGGTAATTACTGCTGTGACAAATATGCATTTTGGGGTGTTAAATAATATTCCAGTGCAAGCGCTCCAGTTGCTGCCCGAAATTGCTGTTGTAATTTTCTGTCTGAAATTCCTTTGAAAATGTTCAACTTTTCTCAATAGAGCTACCTTTTTGTGTGACGTATGTTGGGTATTACTGTCAATATGGTCTAAGTACCTTGCTCCCGTGTACATTAAAGATCATGATAGTGTACTTCGATGTGTAAAACAATCGGCATTGAACCTTTCATGAGGAAATAGACAGGGTACACAAATCGAAACAAGTTTGAAGTTTAAGAGGCTGTTATGTAAGGATGGAGTCGAATAGTCAGTCTGGTATTCAGTATCACAAGAGTGCTGGAAATGTTTCGTGTAAATTTCTCAATAAAGCTACGAGGAATCTCATTTACATGCATGCAGCAGTGCAAGTTTTGTATATGTTGTTGCTACCTATCTAGGGACAGCGGCAGCTTCAGTTGTCAAATCGGTAGTTGGGGTTTTTACTACCCGTAGTTAATGCTGTTGGGATAACTACAATTTGGATTGTTGCATGAGACTGTGAAATTCGTACTCGTGCTTTCACAGTTGTGGCTATGTTGTTTCTTTTTGGAGGGGGGTATCTTCTTTGTAATTATGCCGTAGGTTTCTTGTTTGACGACTGTTATTGTTTTATTTACATTATTCCTTTTCGTTTGTTGGTTGGTTGTTGATTGTCGTTTTGTGTCGGTTGGATGGTGCTGTGGTACTCTGGTTTCTTTTTCGTTTTTACTGTATAGAGCCTCGTAAGCCAAGGGCGGCCTGTTTCTCGTCACATTAAGTTAACTGCGTGGCTGGGTCACATTGTTCCAGCCGGCGTTAGACTCGATTTAAAGCCGGTAATTGGCCGTCAGATGCTGATGAATGCCGCTGGTAGATACATGTATCTGACGATGGACAAAGCATGATCGTCTGCCGACTTGATATTAAGTCTACCCTAGTACATGGATGACCCGTCAGCCGGGTATATGAAAACAGACCCAACAACGGGGACGCTCCAGGTATCAAACAATTTACCTGCCACTCCTTTTGTCAGCATTGTGAAAGGTCCCATGATCATTTCGCGCCGAGTTGTTTAAGATTCGGCCCTCGACTCGTCCCCTTACACCTTGGCTTGGCGCCGGTTGGGGAATAACGAGCAGCGCTAGGCGCCCACCGGCACCTTTATTAAAGCGAGCCTAATGACCACCGAAATCGGTAGCCGTCGATTCAAGAAGCATCAACAATAGATTAGGGGGCAAACAGTTGCCGATTCGAGATTACTGACTGAAAAGTAGCTCACCGCTGTCGTCGAACACAGCTAGCTGACAGGGTGGGCCACCGCTGGCCGCGCGAGCCAATGTAAAGGCGTCTGCTTAAAAGACATTCATTCCTCTTTGTCGCTTTTGAGTGTTAGAATGAAAAAGATAATACAGGGATCGGGTATTACAGTAGTTAGGATAAATGTCCTGGCTGAGCTCATGCTTGGAAATCTTAACCCGACCTCCCAGAAGATTCGGTTCCAAATTTAGTGCGTCAACGCATAACAAAGCGGTCCGAAATGAGCTGCGTGTATTTCCTATGTTGTCGTAAGTAATTTCAAGGTGGCATTCTAGAATCTTTATGCAGAGGCTACTCCGATATATACGGGATCCTGACGAAATTTATCGTGCCACTGATCTGCATGGTAGGAAAGTTTTCCATATTTAAGGTTTTATGTGCTTAATCCTTTGAGCAGGCCGGAGTGGCTGGCATGAATACCCCTTCATCCTGAAAGGCCTATCAGCATTCTCAAATTTCATTCCCTAACCAAATAAAGTTGAAATCTTTTGGACAAGCTTAATTTAACAATGCACATTTACGTCAGTCGTTGGTTCAAGTCGACTTGTGCGTGATAAATAGACGGCTTACAGTTAGGTATATTTTCACAGTCTTTTGATACGTATTTCTATTAGAAAAGACACATTCAATATTCACAAGCAGTGACAGGCTGAAAGTCTCCTTTTACCGTATCGTGCATCGTTGAAAAAAAATATCATTCACCATAATTTCTGGTCGTAGTTTTTTTCCGCGGAAAGGATCAAACACGTGTAGGCCTATCGGTACAATCGCCGACGACTTCATTTTTCTTCTCCGCGCTCTGGAAGATTCGTTCAAGTGCAGAAGTACCTCGTAAATTGAATTTCTCCATTCAAGGTTTGGCTTCTTTATCGTCTTCGACCTTGGTTTCTGGTTTTGTTAGAAACTGTAGCCGCTTGTTTTGAGACAAAGAGAGAAGACACCTAAAGCCATTTCCAGTAGTCTTTTTTTATCGAGCTCGATGTTCATTGTGTCTGCACTGTTGTTCAACCCTCACAATATCGATTAAAAAGAGAAAATCGCAGTCATGTAGTGTAGGAGGCCTTGAATTACTTTATGAAATGTTTCAAGAAGTTTTTTTTCCCAAGCCGACACAAAAGACTGCAGTGCCGACGAAAGTCGCTGTGACTGCAAAGGAACTGTCAGCGTTGTTGGCTCAAAAAGAAATTCCGAGATTTATTTCGGTGCGTGCTTTGGAGCGAATTAATAGAAGCCATGTATTCCGGGTTAGAAAAAAATTCTCAGCAAGCCATTCAGGAAAGTGTACTCTGAGTGTACTTTCGTACAGGGGAGAATGGTAACGATCTGGCGACCGTTTAACCTTTGACCCGGAGCATTGCCTGGGCTGTTTCTTTTCAATTGGCTGCGCGGTGGTGGCCCAGCGCGTCTCACTGCGCGAAGGCTGATGGGAAGCCAAGCCGGGCCAATTTGTCGGCCCAGTGTGCGTGCTGTCTATTTTAACGTCAACCCGAAACGGTTGGGACAGGTAGGACACTTCGGCATGACGGGACATCCAGCGAAGCTTAAAGAGGCTAACTGGGGCCGCTGTGGGAGCATTGTACATGAGCCGAGGTGGACCCGATATTGAAACTACGAAAGATTGATCTAAGTAGTTGCAAGGTGACGTCACGTGCCCAAAGTTTACCGAGACGAGGCGAATCCTGTGTAGGTGGGACTCAGCTTCTGCGATTCTTTTTCAGTACAAGTTTTGTGATGTCCTTATGTTTTCTTAAATGGTAAAAAGTTGTCAGTAAATGCCGCCACGAAGGACTAGTTAAGCGAGAACCAATCGATGTTCGGTGCTCAAGTTGTGATCAGACGACAAGCAAGTGGTGGGCATTTTGATTCATGTCTGAACTGTGCCTCCATGGCGCGTCTCTGTAAATTCGTGTACCAAACAAAATCTGTTCAATATTTTTTAACCTTGCCCAACTATTTCCGCGTGATTACGCCGATGTTTTCTTTGTCAATCGGCCTGTAGCGCAGGGAGTTACTGTAAGTCTCCGTCCTTACACCCATTCCCCCGGTCCTCGCCGCATGGCCACCGCGTTCACCCCGCACGGCAACCATCGCTGGGCACTGCTGGAAATGTTTTTCCTCGGCACAGGGCCGGGCGGAGTTGCAGAGAAGCGATGGCACTCTCAGAGCACACCATGCCGAGCCGGGGCCTCGGCGCGCATGCGCCGGCAGTCTTGACTGACAGCCGTCACGGGAGGGTGCGAGGGAATGTGCCTTGTCGTGAGATGTCTGTCAAAAAAAAAAGAATGGGAAAGACTTGATTCCAGACTTTGTATAGCATGCTGGCAAGAGCTGAAGTACATGAACAAAGGAAGTGTGAAGGAAGTACGCAAGGATTCTAGTTTTGATGTCTTGACCTTTTTAAGAAACAGTGTTTCTCGCGATATTTCTCGGAGATGCTCAAGCAGGGAAACATCAATGAGGAACACCGGGATCAATTCCATTCAGATCTCGCTTCACTTAGATAATGTTTGCATCTCCTCTCCTTCTGAACCGTTCAGTTGTTGAAGTAAATGTATTACTGTAGAGATCTCTTTTTTAATATCTATTGAAAAAATCGATGGAGAAACTTGTTGGAATTTGTCAGTATGCCAATTCTGAATTTCATACAACTTGAGTTTCTTGCGAGAGAAGCAAGCCTTCGTGAACGTCACTTTTGAAAGGTTGCAATGTGCACATCACTTCCGCACATTCGTAGTTAGTTGCTTTGGAAAGGAAAGGAAAAAAATAAAAATCAGATTCGGAAAAGAACTTGAGCAATGAATCGCCTCATTGCTTTTCAACAATATGGTATTGAAAATGATTATTCGTCATCACTGAAACCAAAATCACCAAAATGTTTGCTTACGTTTTGTGCAATTTTTTTCTTCCAATGTGACCACCTATCGTTGCGAGTCGCTCGCAGGCAGCGCAGGGGACCGCGAACAAAATACTTTCGGTGGAAACAATTAATTAGCAGAATGTATCTGGAGGCTATGATGCGGTCGGTTATTTGTTTGTTTAAGGGGCCTTCGCCTTGTTATGATACGGGTGGATGTCCGCGTGTACTCTGGAGGATACAGGGGAGCGGGCACCGGAGCGAATGTTGCACCGGAGCGGCACGGCGGACCGTGTAGACGGTGCGCGCGCTGGTGAGTTCTGGCCTAGCCCTGAAGGGGTATAGTACCGCATGGTGTGCCACAATATGCGCCGATGTGTCATTGAATACCGCTGAGGTGGCGAATGATTAAAGTCGGCAATTATCGGTTGGTATTACCTGCGTGCTGCCAGAGTTAAAAAAAAATCCCAGGTGAGGCAAGCATTAAAGATGCACTTTTCCTGATTTGCAAGAGTTTTCTTTGCTACACTTGAGCTGTCTTGACGTCATTAGGTGCTGACTTATGAAACGACTCTCGAAAGCGGGACTTCTCAAGATGGCAGCCTTCCGCTGACGTGAAGGCATGAAGACCCCGTCTTTGAATGGAGTGTTCGGGGAATTATTCAAAACACATTTGCGAAGTCCTTTGGAATGCAGTGTCCCGTGGACGATCCGTACCGCGGTCTGGCACCCACCCCTCCTGCCACAGCTGTGTACACAGGGTGGGTCTATACCGCTGTTTCTGTGGCAAGAACGAGAGGTTACTGTCTCATTTCAATAGCTTACACCTGACCCTTTCACACCATGTTTTGAGTAGGTGGCATTCCGTGTCAGAAGAGAGGTCTCTTCCCACCAAAGATAAAAACTGGGAAGGTGTTACCGGAACATATATATACACGATACCCAGAACAAATTCACTACGCCCCTCCCAAGACAATGGTTCGCGTTGGGTTGCAGAAGAAATATGTATATACACAAATCAATGTAAAATATCCCTGTCGAGCTTCCTCGTTGCAGAGACCTTCCTTAGCTCATTATCCAGAGCCAGCAACTGTCCAAGACATTACTTCTTACACTATTAGCGAATTAAGTTAATTCTGTTCACGCATTCCACTCACGGCAGACTTGGCAAGGATACTCTGAAAGGAGGGTTCATTGAGTAAT